AGAGGATAGTCTGGAAGAACACATAGGCTACTAACTTTTGTTTTTTAATTCCACGCGGACGGAGTCTCGGGCAAAATGTATTTTGTAATAATTCTTGCGTGAAAGGTGACATGATTAAGAAGGGAGTGATGCCAGAGATGACGGATGATAGAGTTATTTGGCGGAAGAAAACCCGGCTCGGCGACCCTACGGCAGTAAGATAAGGTAGGGAAGATAATATTTTTTTTCTTTAATAAAAAGCTCTATAATTTCGACATGCTTAAGACTGCATATTAAAGCTTTTATACTTAGGGGGCAAATAAATTGGGAGAAAATGCACGGGAAAGGGACAAAACTACAAGCCAATATAATCAGAAAAAGATTACCATAGTAACAATAATTATTAGCTAACGTCAAAAGTCTTTGGTGTAATTTATGCATTTAATTTTGACATTTGAAATTAAACTTTAAACCGTCTGTCTTCGAAAACGGCCCACGGAAATTGTCTGCCAATATTTGTTTAGTAATTCTTACAGTTGTCTCCAACACATATGGAGAAAATCAGCTTTGTGAAAATAAGTGAACTTAGGTGTATCTTTACCAACTTCAGCGCTTGATAGCCCGTAACTCCCCCATTGGACCGGATAACTAATGGCCATTCGGCTACATCACAAACGAGTACTATCTAATCGTATAACACTAAATTTTTAGAATTTAAGTGTCGTCATCTTGGTCTGGGATGTCAATCTGTAACTAACAGCCATATGAACAGACTCTAAAAATTCAGAAGTAAATAAAACTTACCACTTTCCGCGAGAAACCAGAACGCTTTACAAAACTCGACACTAGCGGACTGCGATATATTGACAATCCTGCGCGCTCTCATCTCCGGGTCGATGAGGTACTGTCCGCCTGTCCACACCGAGCTGATCAAGTTGCCGTGGCTGTAGTACGCTTCGGAGAAACCCGCCATGCAGATTGAGATGCCCTTCAGTATACCCCGCATTGACGGCGTGAACTGGGGTACAGAGGATATAACCTCAGAGACTTTTTTACTTTAAGAAATGGTCAAACTAGATACGGACAGTCGCAACAACAGAGTACCGAAATTAGTTACCAACTGCAAAGAGTTTGCACATGTTTTTAGGTTTCAAGCAATTAGAAAAAAGGAAGCATTCAAATTATTGTATTTATAACTTTTTCAATGTCATTGTGTTTTCTGTCTTTTTCGGTACATATTTCACCAATACATGTCTATATAAAAAAAAACATTTTAAAGCATACACTTGTAGAAAGGAGATAAGCTCTATTCTTGAATAAAAAAATGACATACTGTTTTTTTGGACAACATAAAATTATCAAGAAACATGGGTATTTAGAACTATGCTTAACTATATATTACCTGAAAACCAAGACATCTTCCGTAGAAACAATACTGATTGATAGTATCTGCTTGTGAAAATAGTTCTTCAGGTGAATGTTGGTCCGTAGGAAACAGGTCGCCAGGGGGCGCCCACGATAGTAGCGTTTGTAGATGATGTAGACACGTCCCTAGAGACGCTAACAGCTGCCCGCATGACTCGATCTCTCTAGACAAAATAATTATTGTCTACGCAAATAATTTAACAAGTTACGACAAAGGGGTTAGCAAAGGTCATTCTTTTTGGCGCTGTCTATTTCGTATAATAAACAATAGTAAATTGATTTGTCTGTTTATATTCCTATAGATAATAAAAATTCTCTATAGGAAAATAAACAGTCTTATTCTTAGAAATAGTCCATAACTAGTAGCATATTTACCTGAATATTTCTTATAGATTCAATAGGAAAGTACAGGATTTCCAAAACCTCATAAAAGTCATATATAAGTCGTTTGTATTAGAACAATTCTCGTCGTCAATTTTGGCAAAGATTGTCAATAAAACGTTCCGATACGTAGGTATATTATAGGTTAACTGTATTACTAATTTCTATATGACTTGCGATTGCCAACGTTTTCCTTGCAATTTCCATTGTCGAATATGACGTCAGCATAAAAGCGTGTTCGCAAAGAGCAACGAAACACACTTAAAATTATAAGTAAAAAAATAACGTTTTCACAATGTTATTAAAAACCTTGAGTATTGTTTGTAGACTTCCGCTTATTATTACGTCTGACTACGCTATTTATAACTTTGTGTTGCAATTAGTATAATTTAAAGACATTGTTAAGGTTATTCATTGACTATGTAAATGATTTTTGAACAAATGTACATTTAAATTTTCCTTGTAGCTTGGTACTGGCAGCAAAAGTAAAAGTAACATAAATTACAACAATCTCAAGATTCATTAGTCGCAGTATCAAAATAGTACAACTCGTTTATCACTTACAACAATTAAAGAAAACAAGAAAAAAAACATGTTTCGACACAATTAAATCCATTTGACATTCCATTGATTCTGGCATCGGTTCAATTTTATCGCGGTATCAGTTCAGTATTCAAATCGGTCAGTTATTACGAAATATCCAACAATGATAGACAAAATAATGGATAACAATTATAAGCATAAACAAAGATAATGGAATACTAAAATAATTGATGCGGATGTAATCTATTTATAATATACGGAAATTAAACAGATTTACTTTGTCTTCCTATTACAAAATAATGTTGCAAAATGCGTACCAAGCAAATTGAACTAAAATTGGTTATGAGAATATATTCCTAAGAAGTACAACAGAGAAAAAAAAAACATACAGACGAATTTAGTAGTTTAGTAGTTGTTTTAGGTAGTTAATTTAAAAAAAAAAAGGTAGTTGGTCAAAAAGGTATTAAAAACAAGCTCTTTTCAATATCAATTAAGTGTTAAAAATTGTTCAATTAATTGTTAAGTCTGTTATTAACAAAACTTAACAATTTAAGAACTACAGATATAAAATGATACAAAAATTGTAAATTGTCTGATAACAATCAAACATGTAAAATATTTGATAGGAATATTGGATTGTGTTCCTATATCTAACAGTGATGTCATTTTTAAGCTATTTCAGCCTCTATCAGCCAGTGGTAGAAAAAAATCCAAGAGAATGTAATGTAAAAAGTTATGGAAATTTTACTTGTACATTCCAAACAGTAATACCAAACGATAGAATATTGCTCAGTCACCTAACACTATTTAACACTACTTTGCAGTTAAATTAGCTAAAATGTTGATATATTTAGCTAAAACTTATCTTACAGAATAAACAATGTTCATACTATTAGTTATGCATACAAAATTGCATGTTATCACTAATTAGCCTCACTTACAGCAGTCAACAAGTTTCTTATAACATATAATTGCCATCTAACTTACACATTATATTAAATGAATAATGACTCTTTGTTTCTAAACTTACAAATCAATAAAATTGATGTAATAATAATTAATTATAGTCTGTTTTATTAAATAGAATCAATTAACCTTTGAATCTAGCATCTTTGTTAGTTTAATATAATAATTAAATGTTGCAATGTAAATTACTAAATAGTTTTAGTTTGAACAATCTAAGATTACTTTTGAAAAACATTTTACATTTACATTGTATAGCTAGCTTTTACCCGCGACATCGTCCGCGGGAAATTAAGGAAATTATAAAAAGAAATGAAAAATATAGCCTATGTTACTCACAGATAAGTTACCTTTCTAAAGGTGAAAGAACTTTGTAAATTGGCCCAGTAGTTTTTGAATTCATTACAATCAAACAAAGTTTTCCGCTTTATATATTAGTATAGATATAGACAGCAACTTTACTCAGCAATATTTGCCATAAATAAATTAGTACCAACATGCTTATGTAAAACTTACTTTACAAAATATCCCTTACGAAAAAGCAGTGCATCCCTTCCTGCACCAACTTGTCTGCTAAGTTTCAGGCCATGCAGAACACATGAGTCCACAACCGATACAAAACTACGATACCCATTGCCTGGGGACTTTGCATCAAAATCATAAAGTGGTGCTACCTAAAACAAAAATTGGAAAATGTAAAAAAAAACATTACAAATCACAACTATAACACAGAAGGAAAAATATAGATTTATATTAGGCATAGTTCTGAAACACTTCTCACCATTTTTAAATTTATAAATCTACTAGGAGTAGCCTACTACTCTGTTAGCTCGGAAATAAAAAAAGAACATATTTAGTAAGAATCCTATGTGTTCTTTCAGACTTTTATATTCTACATCCATGTCAAATGTCATAATATTGAGCCTTTTGGAGAAATCTTCTAACAAACATCCAGCCATTCAGCCAAAATTTTGCATTTATAATAAAGTAAGATGTGCACATGTCTAGTTTTTACATCTAAGTTAAAGTTATTGTCATGTGGTTCCTATTAATATTAACATCTTACTAATATTATAAATGCTAAGTTTAGTGTTGTTGCATTTGGATGGATGTTTGTTAGTGTTTGCAGCCTAAATGGCTGAATGAATCTTAATAAAATTAGCCACAGCTATAAAGTCTGGGAGAACATAGGCAACTGATACTACTTTTGTTTATTAATTCTATGCAGATGGAGTTGTGGGTGATAGCTAGTCTTTCATTTTCAAGAGTAGATGTAGTCTGAATCATGACATAGGCTAAAATAAAGTGAGATCAAAGTTTAATTATGAACTTATATCATATTGTGCAGATGTGGAGTAAAACAGATGGCAATGGTTTATTGTTTTTGCAACATATGTTACATGTAAAGGGGCTATGATATGTAAATTTTTGTACTTTGCACTGTTAATATTTTAACTATTTCAATTAGAGATTACAGATTGTTTTAATTTGGAAATTTGTTTTATTTTAAACATCAAGGAAACAGTTTTAAAATATATTGTATTTTAGTAACAGTGTTTCCACATTCAGGATAATATGCACATTGTCCAGTACACAATTATTTTTAAAAATATGGGAACATATGAAAGACTACAAGTATAAAACAAATTATCACTCACCTTTCTTACATGATCAACAAGTGGCCATACTGTGTCTATATGATCAATTAAAGTCATGAAACCTTGGTACAATCTTTGACCATTTTCACTGTCATCAGGTTGAAAGTATGTTGCGTTATTTTGGCAAGAATCTTTGAGTGCTTCATACATAGCATACGTAGGGGGAGCACCTTCTTGATTTTCCTCGCAGCATAGCGAGGCTTTCGCGGGAGATTCTGGGAAAGACATCATTTTTTTCCAATTCCCAGTCGCAAGTTTTAGCCCGCGTTCAAATAATTTAATCCGCATCTAAAAATACAGAATATAATATATTTTAAGCGTTACATCAAGATGTATAAAAGCATAAGTACATTGAATGTATTTACAAAATATTCTTGAAGTAAATATCATTGTATCACTCTTACAATACTTTAGTAAGTAGACTGACTGGGCTGGCAAAACTAGAAGTAAACTACGAATAAAATTCAGTTCAATACTTCACGACTTTTGATTTCTAGTTGAATAAATTAGCTTATGAATTAATTTGAGTCAATTTTCTAGTATCACGTCTATTCTGTTGTGAAAAGAAAACTAAATGTCAAGTTATTGAAATAGCAAATCAATCATCTTGACAGCTGAGCATTATTTTTCTTTCAGAAATATGGTGGTTGTTTTTGGGAAATGAAGTTGAAGTTTTATTTTCATACATCGTTTAATAAATCCAAAGATATTATTTTATAATGACCATCGTTGTTATTTTAACTATACTAACTATTATAACGCCGAATACAAACATTTAAGTAAAGGGGTACGTAGGTCTTTTGGCATCCGGAAATTTATTAAAATAAAAATGAAAATTGAGTGTCAGAGTTTAAGCATTTTGTGTGGGTTTTTTAATATTAATCCATGAAAAAAGTTATGAAAGTGTTTAAAAGTAGTATAAGAAAGTTTTTTCTGAAAGTGGGAGATATTTTTATTGCGGAGAAGTAAGGGACTCCAGTTGCATTTGAAAATATGAATCATCTTGTGTCTGTTAACTCAAGAAATGCCCTAAAACCAAGGGGACACCTGTATAATATGTATAGTTTTGTAATTTCAAAAAACGGTTAAATAGCAATTTACTTATAAATATTTTTCAGATAGTAGTTTTATTATCTAGTCATTTCAAATTGCAGTGACCGAAACTTTAGTTGTAACGTGTTTTGTGCAACTGGAAGTATTTCCTTCATGACATGAAATACACAATGATTTTAGTTTTAACATACTTATTTATTTCCGCAATAAGGAAATTACTGGCTGTCTGACAATTTTATACCGCAAGAATTTCCCTCAAATGTGGTAATAATACCTCGCTGTTAACCCTAAACGATCAGAGGCGCCCCTCTGTCAATGTCAAAAAGGTGCCATAATATTCTTGTGGGACTATACTCATATGCTCTGCTCTCTTTGGTGTGCCCTATGTCATTCACTTGAGTTTTCCTTGGTTTTTCAGTGTTTTCAGTTTTAATTTGACCTAATCGATATTATGGACCAAAAATATGTCTAATTTCCAAAAAAAAATTGTGGCATGATTTAGACAAAGTACACCAACAAAAATGGACGAAGCCTGTGAATATGAAGGTGAGATACCGATCTGGCAGGAACCCCGATGTGAGCCACTCGGGGCGCCGAAAGAAAACCTTTGTGACGAAGCTACCCCGGAACAATTGTCCGGTGATCGAATACACGCATTGGAAGAAGAGCAGGAGATTCTATCGTCGTCAGTTTTCTCTCTTACATCTCATCTTGCGCAGGTCGAATTTCGCTTGAGGCAAATACTAAAAGCACCTCCGCAAGAAAAAGATTCTATGTTACAAGCTCTTGAACAGTTTACGTCCCGTGGTGTGCCGGATTCAAGGACCGCACCTCAAGGTAGCGCCGAGGAAACAACTTGTAATGAATGCGTAGAGTTAGAGCGAAAAATGAAACGACAACGCTCTAAGCAATCTCAGTTCGTGGAAAGACTCAAGTCACAGCTAAAAGAACTTGAACGTTTTGCGACAGACCCAAAATCAGAATCTGGAGACAGTACCCACAGGACATTGATAGAACATTTGAGAAGTGAAATAGATCGCAGCCTTGAAGAAGGTTGCCACCAGCCACTAAGTGCTGATGAATTGAGGCACCAAATAAACTGTGCTGTAAGGCAGTATGCTGATAAACAACTTTCTAAAGAAGAAATAATCGGGAAACTACAAACTCATATAGAAGATATGCAAAAGTTTATAAAATTAATAAAAAATGAAGACTTGAACAGCAATGGAAAAACAAAACCGGAACCAAAGAAGGTTGGAAAATCTGAATCATTTGAGAAAAACTTCACTCGAAACAGTGTTAATGATGAGTTGAAAGCGGAGACAATTAACCTAATGAGGAAAGCTTCAACATTGATACAAATCTTTACAGTGTCACAGTTTGGTTGTTCTCCAAACAGTCATAAAAAGTTTGACAAGAGATCACCAAATGTTACCCATTGGGGCAACCTCAGAGCTAGGCTGGAGATGTCAATTGATGCTGTACTTCATTTAGTATCCAGAGAGAGGCAGGCCAGCTCAATTATTGACAGCTATGACAGTGATTCAGAGGAAGGGGCTGTGGTTATAAATGATGCGCCCTTGACTACCGCAGTGAGGAGACATTTAGCTATTAACTTGAGGGATTTACTACAACATGGTCTTATTGGACCTGACTCTACATCTCTGGTACCAATAATTGGCTGCTTTCCCGTCCGCAGGTCTTCCATGTCACGTAATTTACATATTTGGGAGCTTATTTTACGTTATTATGAACTGAATGATGGAGATAGATTTAACTCCACTCCGGCTAGAAAACTGAGTCAAAGTTTTAACTTAGATATAGTGGGAGGTACCGCTATTACAAATAAGCAAAGTTTATTAAGTAATGTAGGAAGTATAATAGCTTCACATACACCATATAAAAGAAGTTATGATGCACATTTTAAAGCATTTGTATGCGCTGCATTAAATTCCCACAAGCTTGTAATGTGGCTAAATATTATGTTAAAAAGTAGGTCCCTGATTGATTCATATTATTCTTCCACTAGCTACATAGTCAACACAGGTTTTCAGGATGCTTTGCAAAGTTTAGATCGTCTTACGCCTTATAATTTTGATTTGCCTGTCGATTTAGCTGTGAAGCAATTTCAAAATATCAAAGATGTATTTATGTAATTATAAGAGTACAATTTACACAGTCAGTATGCCTTCCAATTGTACTGTGCATTTATTCTGTAGATCTGTAAAAACATTCTAGTCCACTTTAATGTAAGGTTTTCTTTAGATGTAAATTGTTCAATATGTATCTGACAACCAATGTACAACTAATGTCTGATATTATCTTATAGTGAAAAATAAACCAAAGAACACACTAGGTCATATCAAAAACTGCCAATGGAACAATTATTAACTTTAATAACTGTCTTTCAGTCCTGAATATGTATCAAAATTGAATATTTTAATAAATCTAGAGTCGAGATCTTGCAATAGTAACTATAGTTATTTCAGGAATTTGGTAAATAAAGATTGCTTTGACATTTTTTGATAGCTTTTTGAACTCAGCTATTTGTTTTAGGTTAGTTTGTTATGTAAAATAACCAAATTTTATAATAGTAAGCTTCTATTACAATATTACTTGTACATTATTTTTAAATTAACCACATGATTAATTTAATATGACTTTTAGTCATTGTTAGTTACATTGTTAATCATTATTAAATAGTACAGTATTTATCTATTAATTTAAAAATGCATAATGGTTCCCTATTGTGTCTTTTGGCCTAAATAATTGTTTTATAAGTTGATAATTTGTGATGTTTCCATAGTTTTACATTCCTTACATTGTATTTATTTAGGTGTACCTAATGATTATTCTCACAATTTGTAGCTAACTATGTAAAAACTATGTAGTAATTCTGTAAAATTTAGTAATTTTCACCTGTGGAATTTGTATACATTCCAAACTGGTAAACCAAAGAATTTACAAAGTGTATACACTTACTATAGTATTAAACTATGAATATCGCAAATATAGTAGTTCAAGCATGTCTGAGTCTTTTATTGTACACAAAAAGGATATATCCCTTCCTAAGCATCCACTCCTCTGTCAACACCACTTCGTCTTTCCATCTATTTATTAACCCTTTATAAGAGGCGATATTTGCTCCATGGTTTTTTTTTTCAGTGAATTTCAAAAAAAGTAAAATTGGATTTTTGTTACAATTGTAATTTTAATTAAAAACACTTTGTTGTAGTGTAATTTTTTTAATAAATATGAAAACTCGATTTTTGCAAAGTTATTTGAAATATTGTCAAAAATAAATTATTGTATATTATTACAGTAATAGAATAGGTCAGGTGCATAAAGAACATGCAATAGAGAATAGAATCTGACCAGAAGAGGGAATATATTTCCCAACATAGAAGCTCCTTATGACCATTAAAGGTTTAAAGGGGTCGGAAGGGACTACAATTAGACTACTAGTTTGGCAAATGGAAATTGTTTCACATATACTTAGTTATATGTATTAATTTACCAGATGTATAATAATTTGGTTATGTAATAAAACAAATATAAAAATATCACTATTTAATATTTAACAAACATTCGGCACAAAAACATTCCAACAATAACTGGACGAATGAACAAAAAAAGACAAACATACAATTAAGTTAATAAATAAACGCTCATTTTAATGAATTTTATATGACTTATGCAATAAATGCTGTCAGATTACAATCGTTTAAACATTTACTTTCAATATTACTATGAAAAAATCATTAAATACTTGTAAACTCTTACAAATTTATTTCAACTTCCTTTATTCGTGTGCATAGGTTACGATATTTAAAGTATACAAATAGTTGACAATAGTGAAAACTTCACTTTACATTTACTTACACATTTGACACATTGCGAATATACCCAAAAACATATAAAAACAGTATTTCACAGTCATAGTCTAGTTAAATATATGTATGAAGTTACATTTTACTTGTACAATTATTGAAATGTTTTTTTTTTCAAAATCGGCATATCTTGGATTGTCGGCAAATGT